GGCGTACGCGGCGTACGCTACGTACGTCACGTAGGCCCGTACGCCGCGCACTCTGGCTCGACCCTTAATGCGCTGTCTTTGGTCAGAACTTGCTCCGTTTGCAACAACTTACGCAAGCTACCCAAATATGCGTCCGAGAAGCGCGCACGATAAATTTGTAGAAATCTGGCAAATCGCCAAGTCGCGCAAAAGTGGCGATTCGGCTGAATCGCGTGAGGTAAGCCTTAGCCTTAACATCTGAAAAGTATCCGCGCCACGTATTCGCCTATGCAAAAGCACGCGTACGCGCGCGTTTGGCCCCGTGCCAGACACTTCCCCAAAACATGGCACGTGCTTTGCCGGATTGAGCATAAATGCGAGTGCGCCGCGCGCACCGAGTGTCTGAGCAATATACATGGTGAAATCTCGAGAACCATAGAAACGAAAATTATTCCGAATGATTTAACTACGTGGGGAATGAGCGTTATACAGCGCCTGGCGCAAGAGACGCTTCAATGACTAACAAGGAAAGAATACTAACTAAGATTCGCCTTTTGAGTTAAACATAAATTTGGAATCAGCTCTGAACGCTGATTCCAATCATGCCATTCCTAGCTGCTTAGCGTCATTCCGAAGCGAGTTACGGGCTTGCATTTGTGAGTAATTAACAAACTTCTGAACGTCGTAAGACGGCGTGTAGATAAGAATGAGCTCGAAAAAAATGCTAGGATGTTAGCATTGCATCAGATTAATTCTTCTGATCTTGAAAGGGAGCATCATACAATTGCAAAACCACCTAGACGTCGACACCGTACCATCAGTAGGTCGAGAAGCACGCAAACTTTGCATAGAGAAGAAACCATAACTCGCTTCAGAATGTTGCTAAGCAGCTAGGAACACATATATTTGAAATCAGCGTTCAAAGCTGATATCAAATATATGTGTTTCATCTTAAAAGTCGAATCCAAGTTGGTATCCTTCCCTTGTAAGTCAAATGCTTCAACTTTGCGTATGAGCTTTTTTCGTCACCACGATAGAGTGAAGATTTTCGGAAATCGCTCGATTTACTTTATGTCCATCTGATTTCATCTTTATTTTTTACCCGTATATATAAAATGCGATCAAAAAAGCGCATTAGAGCATATGGAAAGGTTATAGTTTTATTAGTAGTTTCTATATAAAGCATATGCTCTGTCAGATGCGTAGTGAAACATCCCGCAAGAACATGTAAATTAGTTGCTGAGTAGCAGCTGATGCAATAACGCCACAAACTCCATCAAAACGTAAGAGAACCAAGGGAATGATCAAGAAAAAATAAAACTGAAAACATATGGCGCATACGCAAAGCTCAAAATTTGCGAAAATAATTCGAATGACGCGGCGAAAACTGCCTTTTACCTTGTTGTATAACGTTAGGTAGCCAGACGGCAGTGCTAAAAATTGTGCACACTGTTTAGTTTTTAATGTCTCTCTTTCTTTAATGTCTTTCTCCCATCTTTGGCCCGTAGTAAACCCCCATCAGGGCATCCTCTTGAGGCGGGCCGGAGTTGATCTCATCGCGCCTCAGCACATTGCCAGGGGAGCGATTGATTTGGAGCAGATCACTTACTGGATGTTCGCGTTTTCAAAGGTGGAAACGTTTCTGCCATTTGTGCATCTTTAGTCAAATGGATAAGATTAATGCGTTTCAAGCGGCAGGCCGTGGTCCGAGTGGGGCTAGCGACACCGTTTTTGCTACTTGGCTGGCGACCTTTGATAACGGCCGCTGTCGAAAAAATCGATGATAGCCGCTATCAGAAATCTCACCTAGCAAACAAAGAGGTTAAACAAATACGCAATATTTTGGCATTTATACAAAGAAGAATTACACTTGGAGAAAAATGAGTAGAAAGGTAAATTTACTTTCTTTTTATCTGAAGCGGTTCACTATCAAAAACAAGCAACATCTGCAAGAAAAATGCAAAAAAACCTTTTTTTCCATTTCGTCGCGCAATCAGCTGTTCATCGATCCTCACTCACTTGGGCGCCCGAAATTGTGCAGTTTTGGGAGTTTTGCACCGCAAAAGTACGTCAGCTGCGATGTTTCATAAGTTACTCGGGAGCAACTTACGGAGGATTTCTCTGTGCTCTCCTCTTTAGCACAGTATTCACCTAATGTCGTCGCCCGGCTCATCTCCGATGACTCGGTCGGGAGCTGATCTCCCTGCCGGGCTTCATCTGAAGCTCACCTGTAGGGTGACCTTCCATACTTACATTACGGAAACGCGGACAGTCCTCATCTCACCCGACAAAACCGCATATGAGAGCCTCAGGAGAGATCATCTCCCCGTGACCGAGCTTTAGGGCCTTTATGTATCATTCTGTGACCGGCTTCAACTTATTAGGTCGGTCCAAAAGTTCCTTCCGTTTTTTCAATCTGCCATAAAATGTGGAATAAAGGCACGCAAATGCTTTAACGACTACTAAAGGCAGTTTTTCTTCCTCCCTCCATCAGTATGTTTTGAGACTATTTGCCACAGTGGTTTCTGAGATAATTGTCGAATTTTCAAACCCATGGTTCTTACCATGCCCATATTTGGCGATTTTTCAAAATCTTCATTGTGAACTTTTGAAAAAACTTCGATAGATGTTAGATAGTGCAATACAGTGAAATTTTTTGGCGCTGACTTTGCAAAAGTCTCAAAATTATATTTAGTACTATCAAATTCCACTTTTGGTCATCCCAAGATTCACAGAACATCAAACTGCACACAACTAAGGTGTCATTTGATGCAGCTTTTCTCTCCTTCCTGGGAGGTTTTTTTCCCAATTCGTGGAGTCTTCGGCCATAAAATTTTCATAATTAGTGATTTTGAACCTGCCTCTGTTAAATTTGATTCAAAGCGGTAAACGCTCTGTCAGTACCAGCTTCGAACGATTTGTTAGTGTTTGGCGCCTATGTATATTTTGCGACTTTGCAAAATTGAAAGACTTTCAAAAAAGTTATCTAAAAATAACAATAAGTTAGTCGAAAATGCGAGAAAATTGCATTGAATTGCACTTTTTTACGCTACCTAACAGCTATCAAAGCTTTTCCAAATGTTCACAAGAAGATTTTGAAGAATTGCCAAATGGGCATGTTAAAAACCATCGGTTTGAAATTTCGGCAGTTATCTTAGAAACCACCGGGGCAAGTGGTTTTAAAGCATGATTACTGGAAAGAGAGAGAAAAACTGCGTTTGGTAGTCTTTAAAGCATTTGCCTGGCCTTTATTCCACCTAATTTATGACAAATCGAAAAAACGGGAAGAACTTTTAAACCAACTAATATATCGCTGTTCATTACTGTAGGAGTGTGGTAGAAAGTCTGGCATGTGTTAGGTTGTCCCAAAAGTAAACCTTTTTTATTGATAAATCAAACTGTTTTTGTTTTTCTAGTTAACTTAGGTGATCAATCGATAGAACAGATCAAGCTCTACAAAATGACTACAAAAGATATTCGCATTTCAGATACAGCTTGAAGCCAAAAATTGAAAAAAAATTGTACCTAAATGAATTTTCGCGAGAAAGAATCCTACGGAATACTTCAAAAATGGCGATTCCACCCTCCTCCTCCCCCCCTCACCTAGCCCCTCCCACATACGTCAATGTATACTACAAGCCTTACTCAGTATAATCTGAAATACCCCTGTGTGTGCTTTTATAAGCGAGAAATACTGTGTTTTACATTAAAAAAACTCAAAAAGAAGGGCATTTTGGCATTTTCACACCATCGTTTCTCAATTTTGAGCCTTGGAGAAAATCCACAGGAACTTTTTGGGTACTACTATGTGTCTATTATACAGAGGCCAAGTTGGAAGTCCATAAAGACTTTCTGGAAGGAGATCCTATTTTTAAGGTAGCTGAAAAAATTTGGTTTTTGGCTCCAAATATTATCTGGATCACGACTTAGGTGTAAATTTGGTGGTCTTTTTAGAGCTTGCTTCGCTCTACAAAAAGACCACCAAATTCCTGAATGGTCCTCAGCTAGGAAAACAAAAACGGCTCAGTTTTTGAAAATGGTACTCTTGGAAGAACCTAATGGAATCACTGTAGAAAAAGCCGTCTGCCAAAATTTCTTTGAAAGTCTGGAAAACTACGTAGCACGGTTTTCACGCTTGCTGCTTTTACAACACATTTCTTGCGTTTGTTGAGCGGCGTTCTCAAGGGTATGATCACATTCTGAATTGGTAGGACAGTTGTCACGGGAGAATACTACTTACTAATCAAGCATTACAGTGAAGTGCTATCCATATCTAAAGTCTGCGACATTGATTAATCTAGTGTAAAAGCTTTGACTTGTTTCGTTTATTTTCCGAGGCGAAAGCTTTCAATATCCTAAAATCCTTTTTTGAAGTAAGTTGAGTACTCTTTTGTCTTTGAATCTTGGCATGGTAAGATGTCAGTAGATAACTGTGTCAGTAGTTTGTGCCTTCAGATTCCGTGGTGGAGACTTTGGTCGTAACGGACGTCTTTCACTGTGACGTCCACTACGACGTGCGGGCTTGTCGTTAGCAGGTAGAGTCGAGACCTCTGATGACGACGGCATTGTCGAAACGTAGGGTCAATAAAGTCTCCACCACAGAATCTGAAGGCACAAACTACTGACACAATTATCTACTTTTTTAAAGTTCATACCATTATTCTGCACTAATGAAGAGCGAAAAATCGCTTGTACAGTAAGTCTAACCGGCTCTACAGAGTAACGCCTAAAATGGCGAAGACGTGAAAGGTAGTGAGCTATCGACGATCAAACTGTTTGCACATTTTTTGGGACAGGTACATTGTGGAATAGCAAGCTTTAGTGAAGACAGAGTTGTTTATATTATGCATGACTTTGTGAGGTTCTATTTATAACATATTCTGCAACATTGCCTCTTATAAATGCTTAGAAATTACATAACAAAAAAATCAAGGTTATTGTAATTTCGTACTTTCCCTTGCAGGATCATTGGTATCTCTGTCAAGGTGTGCTAAAAATCTCGTTTTAATTCGTCGTTATATCAACCGCACTATGTACGCGTACTCTCTTAGAATATTTTCCAGAGAGTTTACGTCAATTCGACCAGAATGAGAATTTTCAACCATATCTTCTTGTTGCTCACCATATTAGTGGTACGTTGACTAAGCAAGACAGACTTAGTTTGCGATTTTACTTCTTAGACTTACTGGCTGTACAGTACTTTATTGCTTACAGATTTCCTCTGCTGCAACGAGACTTCCAATAAGACGTGGAAGACCTCTCACTGTTGAAGAGCTGAAAAAAATTGGAATCTTGAGAAATCCGATAAGCAAGAAGTCGTATGCGAACCAAAGAAATTACTAAAATCTAGAACGAAACAGTGATATTTCGTGCTCGATTGTCGATAAACCGCATTGTGATTCAAGCTGTAATCAGTTTCTTAGCTGTCGACCAAGGTTGATAGCAAGACTTTATTACGCGATAGGCCAACGTTTCGCGGTCCGTCCGCCTTCACCGCGGCTTCCTGAAAAATCAAAATTTTGAGAACTGCCCGCTCAAACACCTTGTTTGGCAATAGATTTAGTTTAGCTATGTGATGGAGTGGCAGAATAGATGTTAAAAGCCTGACTTCAGCCTAGCCAGATCGGGATATGGAGAAGCGAACAACCAGTACCGCGCTGCAGCTGCGCTATGAGTGAGTGTAATATTCAGTGTCAAAATGCCCTTTATATGGTTAAAGAAGATCTCGTATTAGAATCTAAACCGAGAAGCTCACCTCTAGCAGTTACTTCCGCGTTTTTCGGCCAGGGCCCGGCCCGAGTCGGTTTCTAGGGTTTCTGAAAACGATGTCTCCCCTGACTTTCGGAAGTTTTACGAAGTCCCCTTTGACCAACCTGCTTGAAAGAAGATGAATACGAGAATACTAGTCTGAAAGAAAAGACGTAAGATAAGAGTGAAAATCCAAATTAGAGCTGAATACTACGCATCACAAGACTTTGGCATTAGAGCGCGATATTTAACAAAGCGAGAAGAAATGAAGGCAAAAAACAAAGGAAAGGCAATGATATGAAAATGTCTTCATGCTCAAGGATAGATTTTTGGCCGGGGAATTTGTTCATGCTAAAAAGATCCGAAACTTATGTGAAATGGCAGAAATATATGCTTCAGACGATCTCAGATCGTCTGGTGGCCGTCTGGAGACGATCTAATTTTGGAAAAGGCATTACTGCACATAGTTTTTCAAATCTTTTTAGATAATCTTTTCGCAAATAATTTTCTACACATACAGTTCAATTTTCGTGTCATATGCTTCTGTGTGCGATCCAAACAAGCAATTTGTTTATTTGAGCCTTGCTTTCAAATCGCGCGCACTTTTCGTCACGATAGAGCGTGTCAATCGTGTGATAAACGAAGTCCAGCCTGCTTCCAGACGATCTGTGCCGGGCCCTGTTTTTGGCCGCTTACAATTAGAATTACTGTAAGCACATAAAGGGCGGTTCGCGTGATTTTGACCAAAAATTTTCAACTTCGTGGAAAGCATTGTCCTAACAGCTACACTCGAATGTGGTGCTGGTAGCTCATAAATTTCGAACTCGTGGTCTTCAAGGTCCTGCTGTAAATATGCATTTGCTGCTGTATCCATAAATGTAAGATCTGTTTGATTTACCGCAGGATGGATGCTTCAACGAGGAAAAAATCTTCATCGTGGATTTCTTCAGTGCAGATGACGTTACATAATTGAGAAAGCAAACAGGATATTTTGTACTTGCGTAGCTTTAGATTAGAGCAAAATGTCATATTCAATTCTGATAGAAATTGTGACGTTTATCTCATTGAATAATTTGCGAAAATAAACTGTACATAGGTGCGATAGTGTGAGAATTCCCCCTTCTTCACCCCTGAACCGAGATCAGGGAGACCCCCTTCACCAAAAGCCGAGGAAAAAAATCAGCAGTGAGGTAGGGTTAAGCAAAGAAGTCATTTATACCGGAAGTGTATGTATTTCTTATGCCTTTTGTATTTGTTTGTGTATCGGAAAGGAGGAAGAAGATTTATTGGCATTTACGAACTTCCAGGAGGAAAAAAATAGTGGCTTTTGTAGCTGCACTGTAACTTCAGCAAGAAAAGTTTCGAGGTACAATGTTGCCATCTGGATTCAGGGAATAAGTTTGCCTAGAGTTTGTTCATAGAAGTACTCAGTGAAAGATGTGCCTAGTGATTTCTGAACACTTAAGAGTTTTCAACATAAAAAAACTCATAAATTTTGTGGCTGAATAGCTGGTACAAGGAAATAGTGATTATCGAAATCGCCTCGTCGTCCGTCACCAGAAAATTTATATTATGTCTGAGATCCTTGGAAAAATTGCCTCGTGAAGGGTGTGCCCAGTGATTTCTGGGGATTTTCGAGCTTTTAACATAAAAAAATTCATAAATTTTGTGGATGAATAGCTGGTACAAGGAGATAGTGATTATCGAATACGCCTCATCTGCGTTTTCAAAAAACACATAGCGTTTGAGATCCGTCCAAAAAAGTGCCTGGGCGAAGAGTGTGCCTAGTGATTTCTGAAGATTTTCGAGTTTTTTACATATTAGGTTTTAACATAAGTCTTGTTACACTTTAATTTCTTACGACGATAAGTCGTGAACTCCACAATTTTAATAGGGCTCCAGGGTACCGTTCGATAGGGCAAAGCGAGCTCTACAAGAGATCTGCAAAATTTCACACCAGCTCCGACCCACCGTAAGTTTCCATTCAAACTCTGAATCGCACTGAAGACCCAAAAAGTCGCGAATTCAAATATTGGTTCAAAAAAATCCTGCGAATCTCCAACTTGCTTATAAAAATTGCACCCTATATCAGACACTTATATGTACCGTTCCTGCATATCTTCCTCATCTAGAAGTTGAGAAAACGAGAATTTACTTGTTTTTACAAAAACGAAGCTACGCTGTCTCTATTTGGGTAACTGTATACTAAAGCCCTTAAGAGTATAACCGTAAATTTTCAGCTTTCCAGGATCCCTAGTTTTCGAAAAATACCGAGTTTAGTTTTTTTTCACTCGGGTGTTCACCACCAACACCCGCGTGGAAAAAACTAAATTAGGGGTTTTTTACTAATGGTCATCCGTTGTATAGATAGGAGCAATAGAAGAAAATTAGTCAAAACTCGAATTTTCTGTGTAGGGTCATAAAAAATCGGAAACTTGCAACAAAAATTGGAGCAGTCGATATTGTAGGTTCTTTCACCAGCTCTTTCCAACAGTGCAATGTTTGCGCCGATTGAGCGTCTCTATGAAAAAATATGATTTTCGAGCAAGCAATACAAAAGGGCGAATTTGATTTATTGGCACTTTTCAGGGAAATCTTTTGTATTGCTTGTTCGAAAATCATATTTTTTTATAGAGACGCTCAATCGGCGCAAACTTTGCACTATTGGAAAGAGCTGGTAAAATAGCCTACAATACTGGCTTCTTCGATTTTTGTTGCAAATTTCCGATTTTTTATGACCAAAATTCGAATTTTGACTAATTTTCTTCTATTGCTCCTATCTACGCAGTATATGCTCAAGAGAAAGCCGCTAAGGCGCCGTCAAGAGAATAAATTGCTCTTTCAAATAAAAATGGAGACATGCAAATCGGCTGAAAGAACCGCGAGTTATGAATTTTTGAAAATGGTGCGAAAAACTTTCGGGCTAACCTAATACAAGGTGTCCCAAAAGTAAATCACTGATGAATTTGATCTAAAATTTATACCACAAAATCCTCCAATCATTCTTCGTAAACTGCATCCTTGGGGGTAAAAAAATGATCTTCATGTTTGACTGAAAAAAATAAAATTATCAAACCATTTCTATTAGGTTGATGCAAAAGAAATGGCCGATTTTTCAAGCCTTTTTTCAGGGCAACTTTTTTTCCATCAATACTTCTTTTTTACAACAGATATAGTACACCATCGCGAAGCTGTTTTCATGCTCTATCCAACGGTGCTCGAAACGGGCTCTCATCCTCATCTCTTACAAAGTTACTGAGCTTCAAATAACCGCATCCAAATTCAGAATTTCATTGCATTCACTTTTCCGGCCAGAATTCAAGCGCGTATCAATGAGATTTCTTCAAAAATTCAGCTGTTGTATGTAATAGAAATTCTCTACATTATGCATACTTAACTTCATTCTTTGAAGTTATCCAGACTGAGAAATCGGCGCCTAAACATGGGTAGCTATTGCGGTCATTTTATGACCCTAATTTTCTTCTGAGGAAGTCAGTCGCCGAAGCTTTGCTCAGTTCTGTAAGCGTAGAGCTAGGACATTTATTAGCAGTTTTTGCAAAGACATCCAGCTGTTCAGTACGTAAAAAATCAGAAAATTCTATATTCCGGACTTTGGGGCGCACTGAAAAAAAAACAGAAATTTTAAGTTTCAATTTTTTTCTTTCTCGCAAACTATTTTGTCCAAATTCTTTTTATTGTATTTTGTACTACTGGCTTGCGGCTACAAGATAGGCCACTTTTCATTCATATAAACAAACTCTGAAGGAGGCTATGAATTGTCAAATACCAGGTTTTAGCAGAAGAACCTCTTTGTCTTTTAGTCCGTATTTCTCTTCCCGTTTATGATGTGAGTATAACTGAGTATGCGCTGTGTTGAGAAAGGTTTGCTGCTTCTGAGAGTCTTTACCGCAATCAAAAATGTGGATCTTTTAAAAAGTTATAGCACGTCAAAGTGAGAATTCGCAAATCGGCCATTCCTTTTGCATCAACCTAATACCTCAAAACGCAAAAAGCTATTTCCTAATAGTTTGAAATTTATTCCGCTTCTGCAAAAATTTGGCGCACCGCGGTGCAAATTTATATCCACAATATAGAGGAGGCTTTGCACTACTATCACTATAATGGCTGCATTTAAAAATCTATTTCGTCAAGAGAGGCGAGAAAATACCTGGAAATTTTCAATGCGTGCCGCTGCAACTGTCTTTGAAGTTAGTTTCAAATCTGTAGAATTGCAGCAACCACTGAATTTGCAGTAATATCCCCTTCGCATGTTTTCTAGATGGGAATCTAATGCAACACGAATGACGAACTTGGTTTTGAAACACATTGTAGCCGATTTTCTGTTTTCATTTTCCGCAAATGTGCCCAAAACTCCACCATAAGATCTACACGTGCCTGCATTCAAATTTCCGTAATTCTAACTATAAAACTCACAAATTTTTCTAATCATGTGATGTAGCCGAAAGCTTGCTCTATCATACAGCACATTTCCAAAGCGATAGGATTTATTTTCGTGAGAAATTGGGACAAAATTGATGATGACTGCCTGCGTGCCTCGGCAGTGTTAATCGCCAACAGTTTGAAGGCTTCCGTCATTAAAGGCAGTGGACAGGCAGAATGGACCCCTGTCAGATTTTGATAGTTTCGGGTAG